GTCTCTTATTTAGTTTAATGCTGCATTCAAGATGGCGGCCCCCATATAGTAAATATCGTATTTATTTTATTATCACGTGTGCGCGAGCTGACTTTGGTCACATTTACAGTCATCATGTCGCGGAGTAAACTTTCTTTGCTTGCGAAACAGTCCGGATATTTTTGGTGACAGGAATAACACGTTTTATTAGTTCATATTAATATACACTTTTCAACATGTCATCATTATTCGTTTTACCGGTTCATCTTTATTTGATGTCATATTTTGCTATGTATCAGAGGTAATTTAGTGTAATTCACGTTACAAAATAAATGTTTTTTTTATACTTGCAACACAAATCTTAGTCTACATCACTGTATTTCCGAAAAGGAAATATTACAGAAATCCTAATTCACCAAAGACTTCCCCAACTTAAAATGTCCTGTGCTGATGATAAATATTTGTAATATGAACTGGCTAAAATACATCTACTCGGGAATGTCACACGTTGCAGTTATTTACAATTTTTCTGGAAAGCACAAAACTATAATGTTGCATGAAATGGATGATTTATTTGCTATTCAGTACAATATTATAATTGATACTACAACTACATTCACACATTTCCAGTTTATAGACATATTTAGACACATACACTATGGTATTCTCTTTCAAAGGATGTGGTGGCCATTTGGTTTATGGCTTAGAGACAAGGCAAAAGTAAAAAATTATATCCACAAATTAGATATAGCCACAGTCGAAAGCAAACCGCCGACATACGCCCGCTCCAATCCGAGTGAGAGCACCTGCAATGGCTAGTTCAGTGAAATTGTTTGTGTACTCCTCGTTATCTTTCAGATATATTTTTAAATAACAAAAACAAAGTTTACATACCGGGGTATATTGAATTGAAAACTATAGGGTGGTTGACAAAAGTTGAACCCCCTGTCTATGTAACAACTCTCGGAGAACTGGCTCAACTTGACGCCCATGATGAAATCCTCAGTTGTCCAAAATGACGCAATACCCTTGAGATAAAACCGGATTTCCAAAAGCGTCCACGGTCCTCATGGCTTCTTCAAATAAATCAACCATTTCCAAGCCGTTTGATGGACCATCAATAATGTTGACGTTGTCGATCCCAAATGAGCTAACTAGTAAATTTACAGTGTAATTTGCTTTGGTAGCGTGTCTGTGGATTTCTACAACAGCTTTTCTCTTTTCAGCGTGACCGTACTCGTGATTTCCAGTAGTTTTAATAACTGATGATTCATCAAACCAATGTAGTTGTTCGACATCATAGTTGGTAACAATATCCAAGAAATCCAGAGTCCACTCTTCGTTGCGTTCTGTCCTAGACTCGGCGGCAACACTGGTCAACTTCTTTCGGCTCATCCCCAAATATTTAGTAATAGCACAATGAATAGTTGACAAGCACCGGACAGTATCGATGGCACACACATTTCCGGCAATTAAATTTATTCTAATCTCCCTCAAATAAATACTTGGCTTGGTCTTCTTGTATGATTCGATGTGCTGTAACGTATTATCATTAAGTTTCGGGCAATGCTGTGGACCGCCAGTATCATGTTCAATATCACCAGTTGAGGTGAATTTTTTGCATATATTATACGCAGTAGATTTGGTCACACCAACCCTTTTCGCTATGTCAGCAAAAGATATTCCTTCTAAATACAGCTCAACTATCTTTTCACGAATCGCAGGTGGAGTCGGGAATCCCTGTTAACTCCGCAACATGATGACTGTGAATGTGACAGTCACAGTCAACGAGTGCGTGATTGGACAGTGGAGCGGTGACTTGAAGTCTGGGTGCATTGCAAATGTATCAAAACAAACTTTATTGTAGCAAAACAACTTCAACAACATTGGAAGCAATTGCTGTACATTTACCGACAATGTTGATAATAACTTGCTGTAGTGTAGCAATATTTAGTTAAACATAATCGTTCAAAGAATGACTGAAAAATATTTGCTTTGTTCATCAATAATCACAGCTCTATTAGTTGCAGAGTGGCAGCAATTATGGTTTGTTTTGTATTAATGTTTTACTATATAATTTGTTAGTCCCTGTACAGACACAGTCCGAAAATGGGAACTTATATGCACATCAATTTGTTCCACTATCTGTTTCAAGATGGTCGAATGGTGGCCATTTTTGTTCTAAAAAAATCATCAAAATCATTTATGTGTGACACGGATTTCCGACATAAATGGGGAGTGTCAGCAAAAATAATAGATTCTAGATCCAGGTTGTGCTTACGTATAACTTTTATTGACTGTGTTTCACGCCGTCGAGCAGGAAGAGCAATACACAGTGGGTTCACATGAAATAAAAACAAAAGCAAAAATAAGCATCGAAAGCACACTGGTTGTAAGAGTTGAATGTGCGTTGTCATAGCAACCATTGATAACGTCGACCCACGATTTCACACAATCACGTTCATCACATAGTAACCTGCACAATAGCAAAAGTTATATCCCGAGTTGAGTAATAAGTGACATTGAATCGAATATAACTGGTACTGAAAACATGATCAAAACAACATAAAAAGCGAGTATCTCGAAGCAAATAAAGTTCAATGTCTATGAAAGTTATTGTTCGAGAGCATCATTGATAACACAGTACAGCGTGTAGCATGTAGCGGCGATGGCATCATGACTTCTAAAAATAACTATTAAATGGTAGAAACTGAACAGAAATAACTACAATCTCGTCAAATCGATTCCTTAAAACATACTGTACTGGATTTCCCTGACCACATGACTCAGGTCAAACACCTCCGGCCGCATAGCGTTGCAGGCGGATCGAAAATAGAACAGGGGTGGACTACTCTGTTCTATATGAGTGTACAGGGAATTATTTTGTCTCGTTGCGGTACGCTCATTCCTTGCGTTTTAGTATTGTATAAATAATAATAAATAAAATTAAAGGGGTGTTCCAAACAGCTAGTCACATATGGATGGATTTTGGTACATACTGTGGACATTATGGGACCTTGATGCACATCATTTTTTGGCGGCCATTTTGTTTTAATGAATGCAGTTCTAGTGCAATATCTGCCATGCTTTGACTGATTATGATCAAATTTTATATATTCATTATACATCATGACGTGGATATACAGTACAGTTCTCGCGAAAGCTTTGGCTTTTGTGGCATCATTGTCGCCTACGCATGGCTTCATTGTCGCCTCAGCATCGCATCAATGTGGCATCAGCATCGCATCAATGTGGCATCAGCTTCGCATCATTGTGGCATCAGCTTCGCGTCATTGAAAATTGAAGCTGTGTTCGCATGTGTGTGACATGAGTATGACCTCATTATTAGACTTATGTTTTGACCTCCATGTGTCTGTGCTTGCGTCTGTGCGTGCGTGCGTCCGGACCTGTATCTTAGAAATGCCTGGACCAATCACAATCAAACTTCACACATACATCATACATGATATTATACATATGCACGTCAATTTGTTTCTTGATCTGATTCAAGATGGCCGAATGGCGACCATTTTTGTGCTAAAAATCATCAAAATCAACCATTTCTCGGCTGTTTACAGATGGATTTTGTTCTAACTTGGTATATGCATTAGACATTATGGGACCTTGATGCAAATAATTTTGTTTTTCAGATAAGATTCAAAATGGCCGACTGGCGGCCATTTTGTATTAATAAATGTGGTTCTCGTGCCATGACTTGCTTTCACTGATTATATTCAAATTTTAAATATTCATTATACATCATGTCATAGATAGACAGATATATTGGTTTGACGATCCTATTCAAAATGGCCAAATGGTGGCCATTTTTGTGTTATATATATACATGTATTTAAAATGGCTGATTTTGAATGCTGTTCCAGAGCAATATCTCTCAATATGGACAAGTACTTTTTTGACGATCAGATACAAATGTCAATCATTTTAATGTTATTTTCACACGGAAAGGCAGTAGAGAAAAACACATGTACAGAAGTTCGATATGTAATCGATTTGAAATTCAAGGCGGTAAGGGGAATAAAATAATCTGACCAAGAGTAAAATGACATTTTAAAAAGATATCTTGTTTAATTATTTAATGTTGCGAGTATTGGGTATTAGCAATCTGCAAGGTGACGAGTGTCATATTGACTGCAAGAACACACAATGCAATCGTCATTCAGTTACAACACAATTTGCTATATGAAATGAAACTGTTCTTGTAAAATTACCTTATTTTCGTTCATTTTATTTACTGGTAAAAGAACAGATTCAGATTCCTCATTTCGGTGGTATTTTTCTGTGTTTCGTTTAGTTTTAGCCAAGTCCGATCTCATGCCCGGACTAATACATGCAAAACACATGTACGCGTTGTCGCCTTCCATCTTGATACAAAATTCGAAAACAAGTGCGTACATTTCTAACTATGATTGGATGGTTGTGGTGGCGTTGGTCTGGTAAAATTTTACATCCAATTTTCAAAATTAAGTCACGATCAGTGACCTGAGCTCGATCTATACGTACTTTAAAAGTATTCTCGCAAAAAATATTTTTGAATAAAAACGAGCTACATACCCTGTAAAAAATCGAATAGCACTTGACATGCAGAAATAGTTTATTGGGCTTCAGAAAAAAACATGTCCATTTAGTTGTAGCTGTAAATATTTGGTGACCAGTCGATGAACAATTTAAAACTCACGATACACACGGAAGTCCTTCAATACTGAATATCATTGACCCCAATCTGGTTTACCTTATTTCCCAACTTGCAAAACTGATTTGTATCTTAGCCCAGTTTTTCTTTTTTTGAACTAAGGTCAAATCCTGGCCGTTTGTCAAAATATACCGATGTTTTTTAGTGAATAATTGTGAAGCAAACAGCACAAACAAACTATGTAAATCAACGCCAGAGATTGGATGATACGAGGACCCTTAAATTAGCGTAAAATATGCTTTGTTACAACATCATTGATTGGCTGAGAGTCACCTGATCGGAGCACGACCTGGGTCACAGAACCATATTTGTCCGTATTATCGACAGAACTTTGCAAGAGAACCACACCCACATTTTCATCCATTTTTAGCACGGAAGTTGCCAACAAATTTCGAAAAACTTGTGAATTTTATGGATTGAATAAAATAAAGCTAGCGATTGGTAAGACTGGTTAATAATATATTCCCCGATGCTGTTTGAATTTATTTATTTTATTTCAAGGTGAGAAATGGATAATTGAAGTTCCATCGATTTCAAGGCGACTGTTTCACCGCTGTGTTGTAGTTTCGCGAGGTAAAAAAAATATATAATAAATAGTACTTGTTTAATTATTTGGTTTTACAGCCTGCAAATTACGGGACATGATCCCCATGAATTACGATAAATAAATGCTGTTTGTGTTGAATGATGGACGTCGGGACCGTTTGGAGAAACCAACGGGGATCGATATTCCAAACAAATTATTGGGACACTGTCGGTAGACATTTCAAACAAATGAAATTATTAACGAAAGACGAGATTTTTCCAGATATTTACGAACATACTGTCATACCAAATATAAATTGTCAAATACACAAAGAGATATTAGGTTTTATTTTAGCCTTAGAAATATTTTCTTTCTTTCACTCAGTCCATGCGTGGGACTATTTAGCCTTATGGTCCTTCGGCTTGTTACTAAACTAGTAACCGTGATTTATGAAAACCAGAAAATTGTTAGTAGTCCAAATTTTTGCACAGTCGAAAATAAAGCGGAAATTCAACAAGTGGTCGCAAAAGCGAGCGATTAAAACACTGTGGATTGAAAAGCGGAAACGGGCATTAGGTTGGGCGAAATGAGTTCTGTAGTTCTTTGTTAGATGAAGTGAAGCTCATGCCACATTGTCACCATAATGAGGCCACAATGAAGAAAAGCGATAACCGTCTAACTTTTTAATGTTGCGACATTGATGCGATGCTGAAGCCATAACAATGCCATAATGATGTGATGCTGAAGCGAAGGTGAAGCTGAAGTGAAGCTGAAGCTGAAGTGAAGCCAAAGCTTTTGCGAGAACTGTACTGTATTCGTTTGACTATCTGATTCAAAATGGCCAAATGGCAGCCATTTTTGTGCTAAAAAGTCATCAAAAATCAAGCATTTCTGGCATTCCAGAACTTGATCTTGGTGTTTATGGATGAATTTTGTTCAAACTTGGTACACACGTTGGACATTATAGGACTTTGTAGCACGTCATTTTATTTTTCAGATCGGATTCAAAATGGCTGACTGGTGGCCATTTTGTTTAAATAAATGCACTTCTAGAACCATATGTCTGATATGCTTTGACTGATTGTGTTCATATTTTATATATTCAAATATATGTTATAGATATATAGATGACTTCAAAATGGCTGACTTGTGGCCATTTTGTTTTAATTAATGCTGTTCCAGAGCAATATTTCTCAGTATGGACAATTACTCGTTTGACGATCAGATACAAGATGTCAATCATTTTAATGTTAAAAAAATCATCAAAATTCATAGCATTATCTTCTGGATCCATGCTTCTGACATTTTTATGTTCCAACTATATTACTATGAACAAAACTATATATCTTAAATTTGATAACTAACGGGGACTGTGCCATGCATGGCTTGTTTTTACATATTCAGTGATAAAACGAAACGAAGAACCAAGACAGTTGCTAAGAGTAACAATCCAAAATGGAATCAGACATTTATCTGGGCATTAAAGAGAGACCACTTTGATGGTTCTACACTGGAGACAACTGTCTGGGATTATGACAGGTTTGGTGTCAATCAATTCTTAGGAGAGGTCAGTACAAAGATTTATGCTACTACTACTTACCAATTAAAGATCACTGTCCATAGTTACCATACTTCACTGATCATAATCCCACCCCTCTATTTTTTGACATTTAATAAGTTGAGGGCATCCATAATTATGAGCCCAATGTGTGTTTTCTAGTCGTTGACAGCATTTATTAAAATATGCATGTAAAAAGTGTGTTTCATTGCATAAAAAAATTGTGATTAGTACGGTAGTTTGGTTCGTGAAACCTGGTCATTAGGAATTGTTTTACTTTTCCAAATTATCAAGTCCATTGAGACTATCATGAATGGGGTATGAATGAGTAAACTATTCTTCAACATGACCTGTTGGCGACTGTGAAAGATTTTAAAATAATTCCTTCAAACTCAGTTTACCTTTCGAAAATTGTGATTCACCATTTTTTAGGGAAAAAATCACCGTTTCTTTGTCAAAATTAGATCGAATTTTAACATCGCTAAATTCATTGCATTGCGTTAAAAAATTACATCATCAATAATCAGAAAACTTCATCAATATGACACAGCATTTTGATTGGTTAATGAAAGACCTGTTAGGTCAAAAAGCGTTGTTTCAGGTCAAATTGTGCTGAAAAACATCATGGCGGAAATTGCCTTGAGAGTTTGTGTACAATTGAAAACATCCCACAAAAAGAAAAACAATAAAAATCTTGCCTCCAACTGTTTTTCATAGACCCTACCCATTGTTAGACTGTAAATTCAGACAGTATGTAAATCGTATTGTAATAAAATGTGTCTATTTTTATGAACATGTTTGTTTCTTCATTGTAAAAGTGTTGTGGATATCAATGACGACTCATTTGGTTTGGATAATTTTAATTTGTTATTTTGATAATTTTTCGTGGATGGAAAGATGGTTACATACAATGGTAACCCCCCCCCCCCAAAGAATAGTCTTCTGAGGTGGTCCTGGAGTATAAGCCAACCCCTTACTTTCCCCAGTTGAACATGTTGAGAACCCTGGGCTTATGATTGGAGAAGTATGGTATATTGTCTTTACTTCCATTCATTAAACATTTATGTTTTCTTGAAAACTACCAGCCCAATTGCTTTAATGTTTGTCCGATTTGTTATTCTCCATTGTATATTGTCAGAAACAGGGATCTACATTCATGTGTGTACCCATGATCATTACTCAGACATGCCTATATTGCTTTTTTTCAAAGTTGGCAATCAAGTCAAGATATAATGCTATATGTATTTGTCTTTTCAATACATTGACCTTTCCTTTGACCAGCTGTCAGCCTAGGTTGCAGAGGTGGATTTCTTTCAAACTTGCCATTGACCTTGTCACAGAATGATTGTGATAGGGGTTACTATTCAAAAAACAATGTTGGCCAGTGAGGGCGCTATGAAGACATCATACACTAGAATATATGTTGTGTCGTAATCATAAATAAAACATTAGCTCTCAGACTGGACTGTGTTATAGGGTTTCGTTGTTGAAATGCGATTGTGTTCTTTCAGACTAGACTCTGTTATGGAGCTTCGTTGTAGTAATACGATGTTATAGGGTTCCGTTGTAGTAATACGATGTTATAGTGTTCCGTTGTAGTAATACAGTGTAATAGGGTTCCGTTGTATTAATACGATGTTATAGTTTTCCG